GTTCAGCAGACACCTGTCACCCGGAGGAAGACCCCATCCCGAACTGGGCAGGGCTTTCCCTTGCATCGAGGATGCGTGGCATCTTTGCCTCAAAGCTGGTCTGGCCCAGTGCCAGGTGTGACCTTGTCTCTGGCGGCAGCTCGGGGCTGGCGCGCCACTGGACATGCCCCCTGTGGCGGATTCTCCTCCCACTCTTGGGAGAAGAGTTGTTCTCCTGCTGCCCAGGACAGACTGCAGACACTGCACCGTCCCCGTTGCCTCCACACCTGCAGCTGCAGTCGGCCTCGGCCGCTCCGAGCCCCACCTGCATTCCCTCCAGCTCCTGGCTGGCCAGAAGCGCCCCCCCCCACCCCGCACACACATTGAGAAGAACTAGATGTGTCATTTCTCCATGATGCCGAGACCGGCGCAGGGTGAGGGGTGGGGGTTGCTGTCTTCCAGCTGTTGAGCCAGTGCAAGGTGGTGCCCCACCCAGCAGCCGGCAAACTGGTTTTCGGCAGCAGAACAGGATCCCCCATTCAGATGTGACCTTTTCAGAACCACGGCTGACAAAATTACAAAGCAAGAACTGCTTGAGAAAAGGCCCGTCACTAACTCCCGAGAACACAGGGTCATCAGAGCTAGTCCTCAGTCCCGAGTTTGGCCAAAGCTGGCCTTAGCTACTGGCTATCTTAACCTTGGCTCCTGCAAGACTTCCCCAGCCACTGCTCCTGCCTGTCATGTGGGTCAGACATCCAGACCTAATTCCCAGAGGCAGAAAACAAGGCCCTTCTGCCGTTCCAGAGTGGGCCTGGAGCAGGAGCCCTCAACCCAGGCCGTCCTGTGACTTCGGCCACCCCCTGCCCAGGCCTGACCTGAGTCCCCCACCCACCCCGCCATCCTTGCACCAGCTGTCAGGCCTGGGACAGCAGGGGCAGCGCCTGATGGTTGTGGCTGCTTTTATTTTTCAGGGTCAAATACGAAGCCCCCCAGGCAACAGACGGCCTAGCTGGAGCCCTGGACGCCCGGCAGCAGAACACCAGCGCGGTAAGCACAGAGTCTGCTGCCTCCCAGCCTTCCAGAAGGCCCCGCTGTGTGGCTCTGGTCGGCAGATCCACTGCCACGCCTCATGTGGCTCTCAAGTGTGGCTTGCTGACTCCCCCAGTTCTCAGCTGAGGCCCTCCTTAACGAGGCTGCTCGTCCGCCCATCTGCCCAGGCTCATAGCAGGGATTTAGGCCTGAGTGCCTGGGGAGCTGGAGTCCAGCCCTCCCACTTACCTGTGGCCCCCAGGCAAGCGGAGGGCCCCAGTTTCTTCACCTGTAGTTGTGGGTGATTGTAGTATGGACAACCTTGTGCATGCGTGCTGGCCCAGAGGGAGCTC